CAACAACAACCCACTGGCCAGCTATGGAGATCAGTAGGCATACTACTAGAGAAGGCTTGATTCGAGGCTCATGTAGACCTGCACAATCAAATAAATGTTTAGATACTCTACCATATTGATGGAATGTACCAACCTTTCTATCATAATAAAGAATGAATGTTATTCGCATTTTCACCTACTTGGAACATTGTATGACTAGTACCAATCTTGATCTAAGACTTTGCATCAATTATTCTCTCTTCAAAATGATGATTATCTCTTTCAAATCTTTAAAATCAAAATTTCTTATCTGAACATTGGAACCATAAAATGTATTTCGTGTCTTCAAGTTCAGCCATAAGGTTTTTATATCAAGCAACTATAAACTCCCCACTGGTGTCGATGGATCATAAACACCCCATCAGTATCAAGAATTTGAACATGCCACAAATGTTTATAGCGTGCATAATTTACCATAACTGAGAGAATAAACACCCCACTAGTGTCCATAAATTATGTGAGTCAACTAGCAAAGGGTGTAAAGAGTATACGACATCAGGCTACTAGGAGCTTGTCACTAACATATTCGAACTTCTCTAACGATAAGGAAGCGACAAGAAAGGAGGTTGGTTAGCCTCGTTATGGTGAAAAAATATCGATATGCCGACATCAAATTCAGTTCTCATGGAATCCTCGTGGCTAGAAGATTGGGGAAGTTCAATGCTCCTATTTGACAAACTTGCATCATTAGTTGTCGAATGAATAAGCAAATATTTTATTTTTCGTCGAGTGCTTATATTTATATCTCCCAATATAATGCTTGCGCTATAGAACTTCTAAAAAAACATGAAAAAGACTCGACGTCAGTGATTTGTCTTCTTCGGGAGGGGAATTGCCAAGTTACCTAGCAAAAAAAAATAATATTGCTCACAAAAGCAGATATATCGACAAATCTCCTAAATCTTTGGTGCTCATGCACACAAATGGAAGAGTCAAAATGACAACATGTAGGGGGCACTATAAGCCAAGTAGGTCCCACACACAAAAAAGAGCAAAGAAAAAAAAAGACGAAAAGGCAAGGAGAAATCAAAATAGAAAAAGCTCGTGGGACTTACACGTTAGATACCCCTGCATTAGCAGTTGAAGTCATAATTACTCAAACTAGTCACGGGTGAAATTATCGACTACAATTTGTAAAGGATGATTTCAAGTCTACCTTCAACATGGTCACAAGAGCGATGCAGAGTCATTTTCTCAATCTACGAAATCTACACACTCAAGCGAGACTAGCCATCAAATCAGTTAGCTTTCCCAAAACCAAAGGATACTTCCCAGCCAAATTGAAGAAATAACGCAAGAAACCCCTAAAGAGAAGGATTTCCAAGACAATGTCAGCAAAGCTAAAGTGCATCCCTTAATGATCCCTATTACCCAACACTTCCAAGTTAATAAAAAACCCCTTATGATAGAAGACTTTGGGTGACCATCATTGTGTCATACAAAAACCTTCAACAAACATCGCTGCAAGAGCAGTTGAAGTCTGTCTCACACAAAAACGTCCACTATTCATTCATATTGAGGTCAAATAAGGATCTCTGCAATAAAGAAGATTCCCAAGGTCAGGTTTCCAGTCAAATTACCTCAATAATTGCCTACTACACCTCACCTCTCCAAACCAAATTTCAATACGAGGGGGAAACATGAGTCAAAGTATATCCACAAAGATACCCAAGGTGAAGCACCATTTTCGAGGAAAATAATACTTTTTCAACAAGGATCTTCTCTATCCATCAATCAGTCTCATACTTTGGGGGAAAGAAAAAATATCTCCACAAGGAACTTTCTGCCACAAGAAGAGATGATCTCCTCTATCCATCATCAGTACCATACTTAGAGGGCAAGTAAAATATCCTTTCACGAGGAACTTTTCACGACGAGAAGAGACGACCTCCTTTATATATCAACCAGTCTCATGCCTTGGGGGCATGACGAAAACCCCTCAATAGGAAATTTCATCTTACTAAAGCAAATTTCATAGAAATTGCCTTTACCTGCCTCTTAATTGGGAAATTTGGATTCTCAAAACATTGGGACTATCCCATTTGGATTCATATCATACAAGGGCCTCATTTCAGGAAAGTTCAAGAACTCACTTAACAAGAATATATAGAGATAACCCGAACTCCTCATGATCAGCAAATTTATACTCGAGCACATTGTTCAATCAACATGGTGACTAGAATCTTGATAGTAGCCAAAGTATCGTAACCTCAAAGCACATATAGAAATGCGTGAGAGTGAAATTCACATTGAGAGTGAGGGTTAGTATGAAAGTGAGGGCTTATGGATATTCTCATGGCTTGGCTTCTGAAAACAAAATTTAAACGTGGCATTAACTACACGAAAATCGTGTTATTCAAATTACACACACGTCTCTAGGGCAAGACTTTGATTTCTAAAATCAGGTTCCCATTATTGCTTTCTCAAACGAGTTTTATTCAAATTTGTTTGCATTCATCTTAAGTCAAGATTGGTAAAGTCATACTTTGTTTCGATGAGTGGAAAGTAAGTAGCATATCCTTGGGGCAAAATGCTGCAAAAAAGGAAATTTGAATACTCGTGAAGTGGGCCTCCAACCTCTTAAACCCATGGAGAATTTCAAAATTTTGTATTGCTCACAATTCAGGGTATTCAACCATTGAGTCAAATTATCCTTCAGCGACTTGACTAGGAGAAGGAATTCAATATACCATGACTACCATACAAGTGCACAATCCAAGAAAAAACGTTTGAGATCGTAGATTGGCCAATAAGATAGCAAGAATTGGCACAAACATGACATACCTGAAGATGAAAGTGTGTCTGATATCCTTAGATACAACCGTGATGTAGCCTTGTGGATGAAAAAATCAAAATTCTCACAAGTCAAGCCACTCAAGTTTCTCACCATTTCATGAAAAGATGCCAAGATACCCCTATTTCATTGGGCCCACGGGTCTAGCAAACTATCTTTGAATGATGTATTTTGTACCTCACACCTCCCGGAGAAGGCAATCAAGTATGTCTAAAAAACCGACATCAATAAGACAATACCCCGAAATGACAAATTCCTCTTTCACGAAATGCTCGCATATCAAGAAGATCAAACTAAAAGATCACTTTATATCGAGGCCACCATGCTACAAAAACCTCATCAACATCAAAGCTACCAAGAACATCTCATAAATAAGAAGATCATATGGCGAACACAATAGCCACTCAAGCATCAGTATACAAAGTGGAGAAGGAAGAAAGTGCCCACTAGTGACAACCATGCTACTCCAATGCGATTACAACTAAGGAGCAAGTTCATTAAAAAGGACAATGACGTAGTTCCTTGTGGATGATCAGTTTAAGAAAATCCATGGCAAAACTATCAAAGCCATTATCAGGGATCATATTCTTCCCTTTGCATACTTTCAAGGCATCATTGTATGACTCATCATATAACGCAAATACACTTGACACAATCATTTGACATCATTCATCTCATGACTATAAACAAAATACCTTGCATTAACATCATATAATATCACAAAATACCTTGCATTTGCACATCATGGTGAAGCCAAATTCAAGTCTTTACCAATATTAAATATGACACGTACCCAATATCTACCTGGACTCAACCGACTACTGTGAAGCACACAACTATATACCATTCGCAGTCGAGTTAACCTTCATCATAGCCTCGTGAATTTGATCACCATGACATACATGATTAATCAAGCTATACACTACTAGGATCACAACAAGCACAAAATATACCATACCGCCATGATACCCAAAAAAATATGCACCGATTATACCTCCATACAAAGACCAACTCAAACTGTACCACCAAAATACAATACTAGTCAAGCTATACCGCCACGGGAACAAAAAATCCAAAGTAGACTACATCGCTGCAAGAATAGAAACCCAAATCATGGTATATCAGACTCTTACCCTCACATATCTTCCATAACACGACATTATCATTCATTAACATTACTCATCCCATGATTGTCTCAGAAAACACTCTAATACTCATTATCACCATGCATTAAAATGTCTAGCGTGTCATAGCCCGGACAACCCCATAATTATGCCATCAATAGATGTTTCACATGTCATACCCTGAACAATTTGATTGCATTATCTATAAAAATGTCTAGCTTGTCAGCCATCAATAAATGTATAACATGTCATACCCCTAATGACACACTATTACACAACACCAAACTACGACCAAGTGTAATTTCAGTTCGGAAATGCATAATAGTGGTAAGTTTAATTTATCAACCCGGGGTCTAGATCTACTGCCTACTCCGTGATTATCTATTATCTAGCAAGACTAAGCTGAGTGAATGTGATTTTAAGCTAAAACAGTAAGAAAGCAGGAAATTGTCGAAGTTCTTAAGCAAGCGAAGAGTCGCTCGGGAATGAATCCCCCTAGCTCCTCAGTTAGGTCAAATTTTTAATTCCCTTTGGTTGATTCACTATTGATTAAACTGCGGAAGATCCTAAATTAGCTTGGAATCTCTTAAGCTGACCAAGCCCTCTTAGACAGAATACCCGGCAGGTGACTAGCCTTCACGGGAATAGACTGCTAAGGCGATTCACACAGATCTCCACTACTAGAATGAATTCCAGTACAAAGCAGTGTATTGACTAACTCTCGTATAATCAATTCACTACTACTGATTGAAGAAGCTCTAACAGCCTAATCAGATTCTATTTATCTCAGGTTGCAACAGAAATCAAGAAAAGTTAAGCAGGCTTCAATTGACTCAATAAACACACTTCAATCGATTATAATCAAGCAGTATCTCAAACCAAAAGCCATTACAAACATGATCCCTAACACATGGAACTAGGGTTCTTCATACCAAAGTGAGAGAGAATTCTACTCCATAGAGAGAGAGGAAATCAGAATACAAAGCAGTCATACTCATAATGATGGGAAGAATATGCTTTGGGATGATAATCTTCACTCCAGGGATGAAATTCAAGCTTGATTGATGAAACGCAGCTCCAAAATCACCTCTAGGATTCGTTCTTCCCACTTTCTCTCTCTAGGACTCTGTTTTTGCTCTGGAAAATCGATTCCCCCTTCCCAGACCCGAAATTGGGTTAAAAACCCAGTTTTGCACGAACACACGACCAGGCCACACGGCGGTGTGAAATCCCCAGTTGCCCGTGTAACTCTCCAAAACGCGGCGTTTGATTAAGTGACTTAAGGTACGCTACATGGCCAAAACGACACGGCTGTGTGGAAATCTGACTTGCCCGTAGTTCTTGGGAGAACCCAAGTACTCTCTTTCGGATCCAAAAAACAGCTCTCAGAGATCTTTTTTCCTTTTGGAAGATACAGGAGCGAAACAATCAACCTATTGATATTGGAACACCCAAAGGATTCTTCCAATGTATCATTTCTGGGTCCAATGGAATTCATAGGGATAGGAAGAAGCCCTGTCAAATAGAGATTTAGTAACTCTATGGAAATCCCACACGGCCAAAAGGGGTCCTTACACAGCCCGTATGGCTTTGCCCGCGTAAAGATGTTTCACATGGCCAAGTCACACGGCCGTGCGGTTTCCTCAGCTTTTCGTCAAACGTCACAACTTCATCCAATCGACCCCGAACTCGTGCCCAAACCTTCCTTCACGTACTAGGACCTGAAATATCACAAACAAGAACAACCTAGCGTGAAATCGGCCTAAAACACGAGAGACGAGACTCAAACAGTATAAGAATGGTGGACAACAACATGTGTAAATATCAAGTTATCATCGGACAATTTGATTGCATGGTTAGAAAAATGTACAACGTATCATATCCCAGACAACCTCAGAGCTTTGATATCAATAGAAGTTCAGCCCGTCATATCCCGAACAACTTAATTGCATTGTCAGTACAAATGTCTAGCGTGTTAATCCTGGACAACCCTGTAGCATTACCATCAATAAATATTTAGCATGTCATACCCTGGACATCTTGATGGCATTGCCTAAAAAAGGTCTAGCTTGTTATATCCCGGACAATCCTGTAGCAATGCCATCAATAAATGTTTAGCATGTCATACCTTGGGCATCTTGATCGCGTTGCCTACAAAATGTCTAGCATGTCATATCCTGGACAACCTATCGCTTTGCCATCAATAAATGTTCCGTCGTCATATCCCGAACAACTTGATCACATTTTTAAAAGAGTGTCTAGCTTGTTATATCCCGGACAACCCCGTTTGCTATGCCATCAATATATGTTTAGCATGTTATATTCCGAACAACTCGATTGCATCATAATTAAATTTATTTACCTTGTTATACCCCGAATAACTTAAATACTCTTTTATACTATCTTTCGACTTGTTAGCTAGATTTATCCCAAACAATTTCTATGAATCTCCTTAGACTCATCCCTAACATTGTCAAAATGTAGTGTTTAAAGGAACTTTGTACACCTCTTTAAATTGAGAGACAAATTAGGGGGGGGGGGGGGGGGGGGGGGGGGGGGGGGCAACACACATTTGTCCAGATAGAAATATATAACTAGTTAGAGAGACCTTAGTTTGTTCAAGATTGTCAATTGCGAATCTCAAACATCTTTCTAACTAAGACCATACTTGAGGCGTTGAGGAAGAGTGTATTTGTTTGTGAATTGACAAGATTTGCAATAGCAAATCAATGGTTAGAGATCACATCTAACTCAAGTCATGAGTCATGGTTTATACGATTCAAGAATGTTGGTTTGGTTAAATAAAAATAATAACTAATGAGTTACTTTCTTTAGGCATTAGACTTGCGAGAATTTGGGCTTTGATTTGAGAATGATGAACGAAATTGTTTATTGTTCTCATTAAATAATGATTTCACACTTAACTAAATAAAAACATTTCAATTAATTACAATAGTAATTAACATTATGTTGCTATACAATAAAAGAAATTTTGTTATTCTTTGTCTTCTTGTTTTTCCTTTTCTTCATCACCCACCGGCAACAGAGAAAAACAACAACGATCGGATTCACCTTTTCTTTGGGATTTTTCCACAAATAGCACCTTTTAAAAAATTTACAAAAATAGCACTCAGCCGAAAATATTTACAAAAATAGCACCCTTTTTTATGGACCGCACCTTAGAGGTGCGGTTTATAATCCTGGACCAAAACCGCATCTTGGCCATGCGGTTTCAGGTCTGACCTACAGAAACCACATGGCCGAGGTGCGATTTTGCCACACAAGCTAGTTGAGTTGACTTCTTTGGCAAATAATTGTGAATTGTTGACTGAACGAATTGGGATAATATCAAGATAAGAGGAATAGTTCCAAGTACATAGAAATAAAAACCAAATTGAAACAACACTCAATTAAATAAACTAAGATAAGAGGAATAGTTCCAAGTACATAGAAATAAAAACCAAATTAAAACAACACTCAATTAAATAAACTAAGATAAGGGGAATAGTTCCAAGTACATATAATTAAAATTCAACTCAAAATACATCTTAAGAAAGTCCACGAGCTTCCCCGGAACTGACGGTTTTCTTGCTCCTTGTACGACGGCCGACGGGAGTAACAATAGGTGGTTGCAGTGGCAAGTTTCGAATGGCCGAGGTAGTGTGGTGCTCGTCGGTGCTGTGTCAGCGGGGAGGCGGCACTTCCGGGGTCGAGCGAGGGACATCCGCGCTCATACGGTAAGGAGTAGGAGGCCACGGCTGATGAGGGCGAGTCAATGGGTTGAATTCGTGGGGCACCGTCGTGGAGGAACCATCATGCCAAGTACCCGATGATGTAGGGGGATCTTGGGGGTAGACCGGGTGAGAATCGTAGTATGTTTGGCGAGGAGATGGAGGGTAGACCGGGCGGGAATCGTATGATGGTTGGCGTGGATCGTTGTATGAGATCGGGTTGGGATCATATGGGGATTGATGGAGACTCGGAGGGGATTGATGGTAGGTTGAGCGGGGATCGTAGTATGAGCTAGGGTGGGGATCGTTGTGGTAGGAGGGGCGGTGCTCTTGAGATGAACTCGGGTGGGGATCTTGGGCGGAACTCGGGCGGCTAGCTTGGGAGGAACTCGGGCCGGCACCTTGGGGGGAACTCGGGCGGGGAGCTTGGGTGGAACTCGGGCCGGCACCATGTCGTAACTTCTAAGAGTCTAACGAGTGTTGCTTTGTATTTGATTAAATAATTTAAAACAACCAACACGATTAAATAATTTACCAAACAATCCTTACGATTTATTTTGATGTGTACAAAAGGAATTTTATTAATTTCAAACAATTGAATATGTATGTTTCTCTTTAAAATATTGATTCGTTAACAATGTCATTTAATTTAGTATGTTTATTTTACGATAATATGTATATATCTCTTTAAATTATTATTCATTTAGAATGTTATTATGTTAATTAATTTAGGATGTTTATTTTATGATAATATGTATGTATCTCTTTAAATTATTATTAATTTAGAATGCTATTATGTTAATTATATGAAATGTCTTTTTATGATAATAAAATTCTGCTTGAAGTTAAATAATTTAATTTAATTAATTTAGTTATAAGGAATAAACCCTTACTAATATATAATAATTAACGTGTGGTACGACCAATGTGCTCCCATTCCACCCAGCTATCTTGCCCTTTCTCAAAAGGGCACGGTTGGACCCGATTAGGCATTTTAACGGCATCAAAGTTGATCGCCAACTCATCACCGCCCTAGTTGAAAGATGGAGAAAGGAGACCCATTGCTTCAACTTTAGAGAAGGATCGACCACCATCACGCTAAAGAATGTCGCCATCCTAACCCATCTCCCCATCGACGACAAACCGGTGTGCGTGAGTGATCATCCCCCGAGGATTGTGACGGTATGCCCGGTTGGGTTCATTTTATCTATAGTGTTTTGGAGTCAAAAGTACCAGTGAAGGAGTGCGTTGATGCGACCGATCGCATGCCACCAATGAGGAAACACCAACTGTCAATTACTTGGTTGACGAAGTACTTTAGAGACCATTACGAGAGTCATCCCCTAACCGAGGAAAGTCCGAAGGATGAGAAGGAAAGATATGCTCGGGTCTATCTCATTGGCATAATCGGAGGAGTGTTCTTCTCCCAAAAAGCAAGCAATCTCCTTAGTTGTGGATGGCTTAGGATCATCCTCGGTAGTTGTGAGGAGATGGGGGAGTATAGTTGGGCATCCGCTTGCCTAGTTAATATCTACCACAACTTGTGCAATGCCTCTCTAAAAGCTGTGAGGGAGGTCGGCGGCGCAATGTTCATATTTCAATTTTGGGTTTGAGAGCATATGTCATGGATTGCACCGGTACACCGTCCCGACAGGGATTGGCCAATCTATCATCCCCTAAAAGAGGAAGCTTATGGTACAAGGTAAACTTCTCATACCCATCATGTTTTTTCTTGGTTGATTTTCCCTTGTGTTTTAGCTTATTTTATATTATTAATAAGGTGGCTCGGACACACAACTTGTGACAACCTTGCCCAACACAAGTTGGATAAATATCGGAGGAGGTTTGAGCGACTTTGGGAAGGAGAGGTAACTTCTATACTTCGATCCATTTATACCTTTTTCCCATGGAAGACATGTATTTTTCCAATTCTTACTATCTTAATTTTATCAGAATTGGAAAAATACATGTAGTCCATGGAAAAAGATATATGGATTGAAGTTACCTCTCCTTCCCAAAGTCGCTCAAACCTCCTCCGATACTCGTCCAATTTGTGTTGGGCAAGGTTGTCGCATGTTGTGTGTCCGAGTCACCTTATTAATAAGACAATAATGAAACTACAATAAGCTAAAACACAAGGGAAAATGTGTTATGAAAAACATGATGGGCTATGAGAAGTTTACCTTATACCATAAACTTCACTTCTTAGGGGATGATCGATTGTCCAATCTCTGTCGGGACGTTGGACCGGTGCAACCAATGGCATATGCTCCCAAGCCCAAAATTGGACGATGAACATTGCGCCACCGACCTCTCTCACAGCTTTTAGAGATACATTGCACAAATTGTGGTAGATATTAGCTAGGCGAGCGGATGCCCAGCTATACTCCCCTATCTCCTCCTAATTACCCAGGATGATCCTAAGCCATCCACAGCTAAGAAGATTGCTTGATTTTTTGGAGAACACTACTCCGATCATGCCTATGAGATAGACACGAGCATATCTTTCTTTCTCATCCTCCGAACTTTCTTCGGTTAGGGGATGACTCTCGTAATGGTTTCTAAAATACTTCGTCAACCAAGTAATTGAGACTTGGTGTTTCTTCATTAGTGACAAGCGATCGGTCGCATCAATGCTCCCCTTGACTGGTACTTTCACTCCCAAAACACTGTGGATGAAATGAACCCAACCAGGCATACTCTCACGATCCTCTGGAGGATGATCACTCGGGCACACCGATTTGCCGTCGATGAAAAGATGGGTTAGGATGGCGACATCCTTTAGCGTGATGGTAGCCTCTCCTTCTCTAAAGTTGAAACAATGGGTCTCCTTTTCCATCTCTCAGCTAATGCGGTGATAAGTTGGCATTCGACTTTTATGCCGTTAAAATGCCTAATCGGGTCCAACGGTGCTCTTTTGAAAAAGGGCAAGATAGCTGGATGAAAGGGGAACACATTGGTCGTACCCCTGTAGCGGAGTATTGTTTGTGCCTCCTAGCGAAAATTTACACGTTAATTATTATATATTAGAAAGGGTTTTTTTTAATAACTAAATTAATTAATTATTTTATTGAACTTCAAGCAGAATTTTATTATCATAAATAAATATACATTTCATATAATTAACATAGTAACATTCTAAATCAATAATAATTTAAAAAGATAAATACATATTATCATAAAACAAACATCCAAAATTAATTAACATAATAACATTCTAAATGAATAATTTAAAGAGATACATACATATTATCGTAAAACAAACATACTAAATTAGTTAACATAAATAACATTGTAAATGAATAATAATTTAAAGGGAAACATAAATATTCAAATGTTTGAAATTAATAAAATTTATTTTGTACACATAAAAATATATCGTATTGGTTGTTTGATAAATAATTTCATATACATTTTATTAGAAACACAGTCTTTTTGACAGAAAAAGGAGGAATCCGAGGATCTCTTAATACCTAATTTCCCAGAGAATGGGAGAATATGATAATCGCTTAAAACCCCATTTCCTTAAACGTGCATCTCTTTATAAAAAGTCGAAGTAAGGGGCGCTATGTATTCGATTAAATTATTGAAAACAACCAACACGATAAAAAATTCAACATAAATTTATTTTATATTCCACTAAATACATTAGCAAAATAAAAAAAAGACAAATGGTGAAGAATTGTATGTACTAGGTGATCGTTCCAAACATCCCTTGACCGATGGTTGGGTTGGTCGTACAAGTCGGTTGGATCCAACAATCCTTGCTCGAGATAATACCGTTGGTTGTATATATCCCATCGTCCCCAACTTACGAGGAAATAACAACGAGGTAAGTACACAGCTTATAACAACAAAAATTAAACTAGAATAATGAGTACGTACCGCTAGAAATTCATCAACATAAACTCCCTCTCCTTGCCACCAATTGCTCATTTTTTTCGGGAAATTCGGACAGACATTCGGCTCGACTCGGCGGGCTTTTAGGAAAAAACTTAAGAAATATTTTCTTATGGCAGATCGGACTTAGCCACAACCAACAGACCACTATTTTCTAGACTTTTGGGAGGGGACGAGGGGAAGGGTTAGAGAGCTCATTCTAGAGAGAGTGGAGAATGGTTGTGGCGTGAAAACATGAGAGGGGGAAGGGGGTATTTATACCCATCAGACCGCACCCTCCAGAGGCGGTCGGGTAATTTTGCCCCAGTCAAAACCGCAGCTTGCCAAGGCGATTTGCACTCCCCGATGTTTGACCGCACCTCAACGCAGCGATCTTCGATTCACGGCAAAGATCGCTGACCTGGCAAGCGGTCCGCAACTGGATCGCTTCTTCATCCTGCAGTCCCAAAGACCGCTACCCACCAAACACAGACCGCACCTCGAAGGTGCAGTTTCCAGAATTTATACATAAAAAGCACCTGGAGGGTGCGGTCTATTAAAAATGGTGCTATTAATGTAAATTTTTCAGCTAGTTTAGTAAAAAAAAAAATTAACATGCTATTATTGGAAAAATCCCTTCTTCTTCCCTGGTGCAGAGAACAAAATTTCTCATTCCCCTTCTGGAAATTTACATACATCATGAACCCACTAATTTGACAACTTAATAAATCCAAAATTTAAACCTATCTCAGTCCAACCGTGCAAGCATCAAAATCAATCATTGAAAAATGACAAAAAGCTCCAAATAATATCAAACAATAGCAGTGATTTTAGGTTGCAATCAAATCTTTTTAACTCCCATCATTTTAGCACAATCTGGGTTTTCAAATCACCATATCAACACGACTAAACTCATCAAACCCACCTAATAAACCTCAAAATCCAGATCAAGACACAAATAAATGTTTTTCTTAAAACTCAGATCCGTGAATCCATTATAAATCCACAATCTCACTATATATTTTCATGTAGATTCCCTAGTCTTCCTAAGTCAACTTTAGGAGAACCTTACCAAAGCCTACCTCTTGTTATTGTTATCGCCGCCGGCGAAACACAGAGCTGTCGGCGGCAACCCTCTTCTTACTTCCTTCCCCAATGCTTCCACCACTTTCCCTCGTCGAAACCCCATAAAAAGGAACAATCAGAATCCAAAAATCCAGAAAACAAAATGTAAAACCAAGAGGAGACACAAGACCTACCATGAGTTCATCTTGGTTCTGACGCCTCCGTCAAAAACCCTTCACCGCCGGAGATTCTCCTTTTCCTCCACAATTGGACCGAAACCCTAGCCTTTGCTTTTCGAGTCATTTCCGCTGTCGACGGGAAAGAGAGTCAGCTTCTGCCCCTTTTATCCCTCTGTCGATTCAAGCCCTAGAAATCCAAATCAAGAGAAAAAGGAAAAAGAAAGCCAGACCCGAAATCCCAAATTGAAGAAGAACTCTAGACCCGACATGCAATCCTGAAATTGCTACCTCCAATTTCCTTCATCGCCGGCGTCAACAGTCGTTCGTTTCCCTCATCGTCGTGGTTATCCCCTTTTCCTTTTCTCTCGTCATGTTTAGAAAGAGAGGAGGGACGAGATCGAGTAAGAGAGGGAGAATGGTAGATTGAGTCTGGAGAAGATGAATCGAGGAGGGGGTAGATAGAAGAGAGAACGAAGGGAGGGAGGAGGAAGCAAATAGAGTTTTTCTTCTTTCAGTTTTCTGTTCTTCTTCGTTTATCCAGAGAGGAAGAGAGAAGCCATAGGGGATACAGAGTTGAGCGGCGTTGTGGGTTGGGACGAATAGATTAGGGTTTCCATTTCAGCCTTAAGAGAGACTAATATAGTACTGATGGCAGAAAGACTAAATTTTGCCCAACGTTTTATTGAAAATTACTTCATTGCCACCTTCCGGCACGACATAGTTCTTAAGTCGAAACAAAACAAAAACTTAGTTCATCCTGGGATTCAAACCACCAACCTTAGACTAACTCCAACCCATAAAGAGGAATTTAGCTCCCCAAATGGCTAAATATGGCTTTTTAGCTCCCCAAACCCACTTTTCACTCCAACCCTATAAAAAGCTAAATTTAGCTTCCTATTTCCATTTTTCAATTTATTTCAATAAACCATACTTATTTGACCTCTAATTTTTATATTTCACTTTAATTTTTTCATAACTCGTTATTAGTTTTGAATACAAATTTTTCGATGTAATTTTTTTTAAATTCCGAGATAATTTTTTTTTCAAAAATTAGTCGTTAAAATATGACCGTTTTTTATGGCCGTTAAAATATGACTATTTTTTCGTCACTACATCAATTATTTCAAATTGAATCACAAACAACCAATAAGAATAGAAAAAAAAATCCAAAACAAATTGGCAAAACAAATTCCCTCACTACAAAAGTTAAAAGAAAAAAAAAAGTAACAGCACGTCAGCTGCGGAGAAGGGCGCCGGACGCGCGCCTGCGCCCCAGGCGCGCGTCCGGCGCCCTTCTCCGCATCTGACAAACAAACCCACTTTTTGGCAGCCAAATATCACTCCCCACCCCAAAACCCAGCCAAATTTCCCTTCCAAAATCCCAATACCCATTTTTTGCTTCCCATTTTTTTGTGGGTTGGAGCTTGAAAAAGAGTCAAATTTGACTTTTTAGCATTTTAGCTCCTTGGGTTGGAGCCAGCCTTAGGATTGTCATAAAGCTCTCATCAACACTTTAACAATTAGGCTAGTCGAATGCCACTTGTTCTCGTATTAACTTGAATGACTCTTAAATTGAATAAACTTAATACGTAACCTACACTTAAACAAGATAAATCACTTCTATTATCTCGTGGGATTTCTTTCTACCCAATAAAATCATTAGTACCTTACCTATTCAAAATTATTAGCTTCATTTGTTTAAATAAAATTATACATATATATTTTCCCAAAAAATGCTTAATACGAAATGTCAATGGTCAATAGACTATGATAGCATTCTCGTGTTGAGTTTTCTTCGAAAGTCATCCACTTTAAACACATGTCAATAGAATGTGTTAAGTTTTTCTTATCACACAAACTTCAACATAAACCGAACTACGTGGACTTTGATCCCGAATACTCAGGTATGTAGGCAACCAATAGGTTTCAAGTCCAACTAACAGTTTTCTCCACATTTCAATGTGTGAGACTCAACATTTTCAAATCACTCACAATTTAAATCGAACTACGTGGACTTTGATCCCGACTACTCGGGTACGTAGGCAACCATTAGGTTCGAGTCCAACTAATCAAAAACTTTTCTTAAATTTTTAGAATTATGTCAATAGGAGTATGATCAAGTCATAATAATAAAGACCTAATTAATCGAATGTTATAATTAATAACGTAAATAAAAGCCGCAAATAATAATACACCCAATCCTTAATACTTATCGATATAAGTAGTACCCATTTGGGTCGTTGTGGGGTGTGAATACACTTCCCTAAATGTAACCATACTCCCGAACCCAAATCTTTAAAATTTCGCAGACCAGATTTCGATTTCAACCATAAGGTCGAGACCGGGCAAAAGGTGTTCGATCTAACACAAATAAGGTTAATGACAACTCCGATCAAATTGTGACGGGTCCCCCAATCTCGAGGGGCGATTGCGACAGAACCTAATGTGAAGGTGGATGAATTTGTTGAGGAGGGACAACTCGAGCATGTTTAGCAACCATCTAACTTGGATGAGGAGGACGTTGAGTGCTCTGAAGCAACAGTCTACAGGGGATTTGAGAACTCGAATATTTTGCAAGGGGCTTTGGGTAAAGAAGAGGAAGTTTCTATGCTAGATAAATTTCGATTTTATTAACCCAATTGTGATCATTACACATTGGCAATCACTACACATTTGAGGTTTTATAGTCTTAAGCAGTTTCAACTTTCAAGATGTTAAACCAGGCATTCAATTGAAATTGGCACTGATATAAGGTTAGGGATGGCAATGGGTCGGGTTGGGGCGGGTTTTGTCAAACCCAAATCCAAACACATGGGTTTATCCGCAAAAAAAAACCGGGGTAAAACCCGTTGGGTTTGAAAAACTCAAACCCAA